CATACATAAATAGATTTAGTATGAAATATTTTATTACCGAACAGCAAAAGTTAATTAAAAATGCTAATATTGCAACCCCTTATCTAATACGTCGTTTGAGATTTCAGTATTTTTTTCTTATCAAACTTAAAATTACTTAAATTAATTGTCGTCCTCGATAGTAGACAAAATTTACACCAGATTATCTGCATACTGGTAATTCATGATTTTGGATGCGAAAAATGCTTGAATGATTTTAAATTTAATGTGGTGAAACTACGGTTAGTGTCATCGAAAAAGAAGAGATTCTCCTTTAAGTTATACAACTATCCTTATTTGCTAACTTCCAAAAGTTTTTTAGTCTTTGGACTTTAGTGCTAATAATCAGACTTTCATATTAACGTATAATGAAACTATGATTTTGTTTATTTGTTTAAGAAAGTAATGAAATGGTATATAGGACTTTCTTAAAAATGTAGATTAATATGTGATAAGAAGCCGAGAAAGGTTTTAGGAATTTGAATTGGTACGTGAATTTTGATAAACTGAAATTTGAAATCTGGTCGCCAAAATTGTTTAAAATGGCAAGCATTGAAATGAATCATTTCAATATTTTTTTATTATGAGGGTACTATTAATTTCGGAACCTTAACATATATTGTTCATAAATTAATCCGATGTGTTCCATTCGGTGGAACACAAAATATTCAATAGTACAATATAGATTTTTCCGATCATACAATAACTTAAAATACGATTTAAAAATAAAAGGGTCTTTAAAATTTAAGCGTTATATAGGTACTATGTTTAATTAATATTTTTAAATTTTAGATTAATGTCTTACGCATAGCGTAACCCTCTACGTCAATAATAATACCTAAAATAAATATAAATAAGAAATTAAAATAAAATGTAAAGTTATTAATATTAAACTATGGTAGGCCTTAGCAGCAGTCTACGTTGTTGCAAATGAAAATACTGCGATCTCACATAAAACTAAATTTTTTTTAAAGTGGATTTTTTATATTTCTGCGTTTCGTCTTTTGAGTGAGGTAATCGGGGTCCACTGTATTAAAAGATGGCAAAGCATTTTGACCCTACGGTTATTGCAAATGGCGACGGCTATCACTAAATGTAAAGTGAACTTCTAGCTCGCTTGCCATCTTCTACGATAAATAAAAAAAACAATAAACTACATCAATAATGTAGTGGACAATTCGAAACCGTACTTCATTAATTAAAATAATCGCAAGAACCAACAGTTAACGTTGTCAGACGTTGTCAGGTTTTAATTTGGTATTAAAGTTTTGTTGTCAATAATATTCGTAGAAGCTGTTCAACTATCCTTATCAGTTTAAAACCACTTAACCCATTTCTTTTCCATATGGAATATAAATATATTTCATATAAAATATATTCCATATATACCGCAGAGTTTCTTGCCGGTTCTTCTCTGTTCCGGTCTAGGTTAGTGAACCGGTGGTAAATTTTTTGTTGACGTTCAATAAGAGCTTATGTTAAGCCTATATTTAATAAAGATTATTTAACTTTGACTTTGACTTTGAATTATAGTTTTTTCAATAACAATTAAAATAGCGGAATTTCCATAAAAAGATTTTCCTAAAAGTTTTATAAGCCAGTATTACCGTATTTGCATAAAATACGAGGTTTGCAATATTTATAATCAGTACCGTTCTCGCTTTCCTAAATCTAGGAATACGTCAGTCATTATTAGGAGTACAACAGATTTTTGTCTCTTATGTTTTATTTCTTTTCTGTGAGAAAGTAGCAACCGAGCCGGCGGTTAACTTGATGTTAAATGATAACCGCCGCCCATGGACATTTACAACACACAGCTTGCAAATGCGTTGCCACCTTTAAATAAAGTGGGCCCCGGCCACCTCACTCACCAGACGAAACGCAGAAGTGTAACACTCCTACTTTACGCAGGACTTCTGTGAGTTCGTGGTACTTACCCGGATGGCCTGCCCATTCGTGCAAAAGCTATTTCCTACCACAGTGTCTAAATTTTCCATTTTTTTTTAAAAAAGTCTTGAATAAAAAAGCATTATATATACAGCAATATATTCATAAAAAAACAATTTTTCAATTGAATGCGGTGAAATTTTCTCTTACCGACGTCGAAAAGGACAAATGTAGAGACTAGAGATGCTCCATTAAGATTCAAGTAGAGATATTTCTTAAACTTGATGAAACACATGAAAATACATACTTCCATTTAATAACAAATGATAATGGTGAATTCAATCGATTTTAGTTGTTATTTTGTATATTCTTTGATTTGTCGGATCAGCTTGGTCTATTTTTTTAAGTATTAATATGTCATGACTCGTTACAAACTATCGTTATTTGGATATCTGAAATATAGTGTAAGATTCGTCTTCAATAGGTGTTCCACTTCTAGGCCTTATGCTATTCTTAGTGTTAAAACAGATCAGTTAAATATAAGTGCAAAAAGTCCTTATTATTAGAATTAATTAATTATTATAACAATTATTATTTACTGATTTAATTATTATTAGTATTAAAATAAATTATTACTTTCAATTAAAGTAAAAAGCAGGTACAATAAGAGGTTTCTCACATTGATAGCAAATATGCTTCAACGGTAGTGAATAATATTTGCCATTAATGTGTCAAATGAAACCTAGAAAAAATTGGTTTTTATATTATCATATGACTTTTATAACATCGGAGTATATTTCAACTGACTTAAAAAAAAAGTATTTGCTAGACAGCTCCCGCAACTCCCAAATTTCACAGTTAAATTTTCTCGTACTTTAAAAAATGAAAGGAAAAACACGATAACAAAAGCAATTTAGATAAAATAAGGAATAGAAACTCATGTGTAATCTAATAACGTAATAGGCTACTATTTAATTACATATAATACATATTTTATTATAAAGAAAAGTTTTCAATTCATTGAAATGTTAAATAAAACTTGTTTACGGTTTAATTATTAGTTCGCGTAATTTCGAACACTTTATATAACAATAAAAACATTCGCGTATACATAAAAATCATTATTCATTGAAATTTATAGTGCCATAATATATGCGAGTTGCGGTCATGATACTTCAATCGCTTCACAATATGTCTCCACATCCAATTTGCCGCGCTACGTTAGGGCTGTCGTGATGACGTAGAGTTTTTTCGCGGGAAATCATCGGCCGGTGTGCACGACAGCCTCTCTGGATATCGGACACCGAGAGATGGCTAGGGCTGTGGCACTTTTGAAATAAAATTAGCATAATGGTGCAGTAATTTGAATGCAACTCTTTTTCATTTCTTAAAACATTCTCCTATCAAAATTAATTAGCATAATTTCTCATCGCGATTTTACCATTTACAATATTTTACAAATAGGTTTATTAAAAAAAATACCTATCTTTAAATATTGACATTTATATTGGCTTTTTCACAATACAAAATGCAACAAAACATTATATTTTGCGTTCTTGTGACTATGATAGTCCCCGAAAGTACCTTTTACGAAGTAACCGGCATAAAGTGGAAGTATTTGCAATTTTCTTTTTCACCTGGTTATTGAGGTAACTGAGCCCAGTTTTCGTAAAGGTTGACAACACATCTGCTGCCACACAGGTGCTATCTATGTGTGGCGATGAACATTTAACATTACATGAACCGCTCGCTCGCTCGGTGCCAACACAAAAAAACAGCCATGGCCTGCCGACAGAAGTGAAAACCTAAAACTTATTTATTGCAAAACCTTAAAAAAAAGGATTACAAAGGGCGGACTTAGTGCCATTTTGGCATTCTCTCCCAGTCTGTTTTTTTATTCTTTAAATTAATAATAGGTTGTGTAATTAAAATCACAATACACTATTTTAAATTGTCATTAATTCTTTATAACAATTTGTAGAGTTTTTATTTTAAAATGCGTGATCAAAATAATATTATCGAAAAATTAGATTTTTTTTTACAGAGATGAAATATTATAAAATCAAATGATATCAACATTTTAAAGTCACCAACAATTATGTAGAAACACTTGACATTATTACGTTGTTGACACAAGCCTATGAATTTATCCTCATCCAAGGCAATTTAGGATGAGGATGAGTATAGATAGTAGATTTGCAAATGCTGAAAGGTGTTCCCTTTATAAATCCTCTGTTAATATTGAGGCAACCCTACTCCGTGGTCACCACTCATTGGACACGTTCGGAAGTGGGCCCTCCGTCAACCGCGCGGTCATTGAGAGCGTTATAGGATTTGTCACTTCATTACAGCGTACAAGCGTAATGGGCTGTTGAGAGAGCGTTGATTATTTTCGGAGCGTTAATTACACCCAGATTAAAGGTCCATTGTCGGCGGCTATTTTAAGACAGGTTGACAATGCGACGTAGTTATAGATATTTCGAGGCTTTGTTTAAGCAAAACGTATAAAAGAGTGTAACGAGGATTAATAACGGACGATACAAGCAAGCCAATTTGTTCTTCTATTTTAAACTGGAAAGTTAACTTAAACAACCGAAGCATACGATCCTGAAGAAGTTTTTTACGTGCTAATAACAGATGAATTAAATTAAGTTAAAAATGAAACTGGATAGAAATAAATTTCTTAGGCGATAGTAAAAAAAAGGCTCTTCATACAAACGAGATATTTAAAAGTAAATAGTAAAATTTTCAAACCTATTGAGGCATACACACATTTTCTTTGCTAGTAAAAAAAACATACATACATAATAAAATATTATATTTCGGCTGTGTAGAGTTATTCGTGTTGTTAAATAAAGCTGTTCCTTGTAGTTTTATAATTAAATATACCTACCATAGTTATATAATTAAATATTTCTGTCTTAACTATTAGAGATGAAAGATCACTTACTAACAGTAATATAATTTAATTAGAGTGTTGTCCGATAGTATCATGTTTTTTTAGCTTTCAAAAAATTATGGTTATTAAGATGCGATAGTAACTGCTGCGTTGATCTCTAGCAGGGTGAGGCGACCCCACGACCCCTGGCAGTAGGATGGCTATAAAGACGCCGACGCCGGCGGACGGCGAGCGCGAGACATGGGGCAAGAAGGTGGACTTCCTGCTGTCGGTCATCGGGTTCGCCGTGGACCTAGCCAACGTGTGGCGCTTCCCCTACCTCTGCTACAAGAACGGCGGCGGTGAGTACAAAGCATTTCAGTGAGCGTCGCCCAGCGCTACGGTCTACAGACTACGGCGTAGCAGGAGACTACGAAAGCTTAAGCGCTCGTTTAACGGATAACGTGTGGGAAAATTATTGACTTATAAATTGTTGCATTGAAATATAAGAAACACTGGTATGAACACGCAGCTATCTTTGTTATTTAATGAAAGAAAAAACACTGACGATACTAAAAATAGTCACACCGGTGCCGGCACTGTAACGCAATGAAATTGTTAATTTTAACTGCTGACATATCACGTGCTCCGCGGTGAAGGTAAACATCGTGAGGAAATTTTTCTTAATATTTTGTTAATATATTCGAAATAATAACTAAAAAAATATTTCGAAGATATGGGAAGTCCGCCAACCCGCAGTGGAGCCGCGAGGTGAGGTAGGTCTTTGTCCAAAAGTGGGACAAGTACAGGCTGTTACTTTACTTTACTGAAACACTAACTATTCCTCTATCTCTTTCCTGTCTCTCCTTTTTAAAAGAAAATATTATACCCTATGTCACTTATACAGTGGATACGAATATAATGATACCTCTTATGTTGAGATTCGTGAAAAGGCTTAAGTTGTAGAGCGTGCCAAAGAAGTAGATATACGTATGTACAAGTATATATCCACACATACATACGCTTATTTAACATTAGCCTCTTTTGTGAGTCGGGTAAAAAGAATTGTATTTTACATGATGTTGAAAGAAATTATTACGTATCGGCGATAGTTATAAAGAATAGGTTTGTTTAAGAATAAGACCAATTTCATGTATTAGTTGAAACGTTATGACCTGTAAATTCCTTCATAATTTGCCCCTTGATTTTATCTTGTGGTTAAGTGACACTCCTATGTCGATCTAAGTCAGAGCGCTTGGAATCTCCGTGTGAATAGTAAGTGCCTCTTGCCGCATTAATAGCCCACATGCATGATTCCTTCCTGAGGAGAGAATACATGCATTCTTACAACATTATCTTTGGGATCTTTAATCTTTATGTAACATTTATATTTAATTCTAAATTAATTTAGAGTTCATTTAGTGTATTTTAATCAACACCATAGCCATATAGTAGCAATTTACGATTGAATTTTCCAACTTACTTTTCTTTCTTGAAAGGTTTAGTGGAAGTGAGATCAAAATAAAATCTCACAGATTTTCATCAAGAAAGAGAATAACTACCATCATATCAGTATAATAATAATTGACATAATACAAACTGTTCATGAACGATATAAAAAAGTAATCACCTGCGTGAAACAGTTGTCTTCCACTCATTTTTATGCTTAAACTCCTATCTAACATCTCTTGTTGTCTGATCAATCCATGCTCAGTTTTATCCGCCTCAGCTAGAGATTGGATATTTTGCATATTAGTATAAGTAATTTACTAGAAAAGCAACATTTCAACTGTCTTCTTTAGGAGGTTTAAATACAGGCCGTGCAATTTATTTGGACATTCGCCTATTACTGAAGTAAAGATGTAATGAAAAGTGTACTTTATTATTCTATTTCAGTCAATAGCAAAATGTGTCCATGAAAATTTTCGGACGAAAATATTCGGGACGCTTATCCAATAATAATGATCTATAAGTTTCGACGTAACGACCATTGGATTAATGGTCAATCGCCTATGTTTGTTTTATAAGAATAACTTGCATCGTGTGTACGTGCCTTTAAAATTATACAAGCGTAGACGCACCCTTACAATGCCAGCAATGGTTGATTGCGCGCGAACGACGCGTGTAGAGCCCTCGTCGCTTAATAGTCGGTTAACTATTCTCGCCTTCCTTGGAGCCGCACGGAGTGCCCAGCACTCCGCTTCGTCTCTAATTGAGCGCTTCACATACGTGAACTCTGTGGAGATGCCTTATTTGCCTCGATTGTTCTAGTGGAAGCTTCAATGTCGGAAAGAGGTCGTATTGCACATTATTGTAGTTTTGAGACAACTCCTTTCAAAGGTTCTTCACATACATTCGATTTTAGAATGAGGAAAAAGCTACCACGCTTCTTTTTTTCACGTTTTTAATTATTCAAAAATTATATCGGGCAAGTCTTGAGTCGAGTGGAGGTAATTTAAAAAGTGAAACAGTTTTATTTACAACGTTATTGATAATTGTCAAAGTGAAAAAGAACGCAAATGAAATGGTCAAATTAGAATTATTAACTTTGAATAATTCTCTTCATTTTAACGCCGTGGAATAAATTTAAAAATTATTTACTAATAAACAGTACAAATTCACAAGTACACAGAAATTACGTGATTTATATCCCGATTTTTTTTTTTTTTGTTAATTTTAGTTCATGTACTATAATGGGGTGAGCATTTCATTAAATGGAGAAATAAAACTATTGTAGAATTGGGGGACGGAAATGAGAAGCTCGGGGCGACTAAGCGCGCGACCGCCGCCGGAACTCGCTCCGATGACGTCTGTTTGATCATTCACACTTTGTCTGCACCAGACCGAGTTATTAAAGTTTCCGGTCAAGTTTATGAACTTGACAGTTCTTGTTAGATCTTTTAATAGGCCTAAATAGAAAGTTTTTGTAATACCTCGTGTTATGGCAATACACTTTTTTTTTTAATTTATTTAAACGCAAGTTCAGAAGTTGGACACGTATTCAGAATCTAAATTATTATTTGCCTCTTTTATAAGTACATTTGCCAGGAATACTCCGTTCATGACGATCCCTTAGAATATATTTGTGTGTCATCGGTATGTTAAATTTATTTATATGTATTTAAATGTACTTACACATATTTGTTATTTACTTTATTCAACAGTTTATTACATAAGTATGAGGTAGATTTCAATTATTTATAACAGTTTTTAATATATTTGATATATATAAATTACAACAACGGAAATTAACCTATTATTTAGTTAAGCTAGTATTTTAAAGTATCTGTTAATATTTCGTTTATATTCAAAAAATAAATATTTTTTAAACAGTGATAATATGACTGTCTGTGGCCTTTTCAGTAGTAGACGCAAACACGCTGAAATGATGATGATGATGATAATATTATGATCTATGTAATAAATTATTTAAATTTATTTCTATCAATTCAAAAGTACATTTTTGGCTATTTCTATAAAATTATTAACTTTAAACTAATTTTAAGGATTTACCGTGTATTTAGATTTGTTTCTTAACTTAAGTTCACGGCGTTTCAAACGCTTGGAAAATTGATGGTCAAGATAGAGATTGGGGCGCCAGATGTCCGATTGTCATTGTTTTCATTTTTATAACGATCAAATTTGTCTCCGATTTACACAGAAAGTGCCGACTCGATACCTTGCAGTGGTGGTGCGTATATGTATAGATTAAATTATATTGATTTAGTTTAATTTTATTTTAATTATTATCTCTTATCCTTTAAACGGAATTTTAATTATTATCTCTTATCCTTTATATATATAATCGGAATCTCGGAAACGGCTCCAGCGATTTTCATGAAATTTAGTATGTACGTAGATTCGGGGGCGAGAAATCGATCTAGCTAGGTTTCATTTTTTAAAAAATGTCCTTTTATCCCTGTTTTCAGGGAATGAAAAATATCATTCGAATATGACAGTAAATTTCGCCGCAAAAAAAATCTTATAATAGCTCGGTCGGTAATCGGGCGGCCTCAAAACAGACGGCCGCGATCATTTATACACTTATTTTTTTTTTACTTTTTTTTCTATACCAGATCATTTTCTTTATTTTTTATTTCCAAAATACATGATTTACCAAAAAAAAAAACGGAGCAAAGCTCGGTTCTCTAGGTACTATTTAATTATATCCCAAGTTGATGGTAGCAGCCAACCCTCTTCTCTATTACAGTTTAAATGTTTTTTGATCATTCGATTCACGGATGATCAGATGCATCGATTGCATGGGTGATTACTTTTAGTAAAAGAAATGAAAAAGATAAAAAAATACTTTCATACAAAACGGCAATTTCATAGGTGACATAAACAGTTTTCAGTTAACTGTGACGATGTCAAACAGCATTAGAGTCACATCCGTTGAACTTTTGTAACAATTCGCGATACCAATCCGTGCGAAGGCGATTCTAGTCTTCGTTCAAAGTATGGGGATTCCATCTGGTACGAAGCTTCCTGACCTCCATATGGTCGTGTAATATTTTTGTATCTGACATACCAATGCCGAAGCATACCCGAATCAGCACCAGGTTGGGTATTATCTTCCTCTATCATGCCTCGTACAGCACTGATGTTATCTTTAGATGTCGCTGTTGAAGTACGCAGATCATTATTAAGATTGCTATACTCTTGCCACGCTTCAACTCATTAAATCATTTGTAAATAGTGGCACAAGATTGGGTTTCATTATTAAATGCCAATCGAAGTCTATCTTAGCCTTCTTATCTTATCTAATATTATTATTATCTAATATTCTTATCTAATAAATAATGGACCGAAAATTTTCTTGCGTTAAATTAATTTTGGGATGTAACAAAACTTTTGGAATGGCCGCCAATTGCAAAAACAAATTTTATTTATGACATTAGGTTAACAAAGAGTTCTATATTCAAAATTTGAAATAAGTTTTCATTGGCCATCTTTCTAACTGGCTAGTTCTAAAAACATTCAGTGTAACCTTGGTATGTATTAAAAAGGAAAACGTATTAAAAAAAACTACGGAAAACGCAATTACGATTTTAAAAAGGCGAAATCAAAATGTTACATGTCTCAAATACAACACCAGCTCTCATTTTTCTCATATAGTTACTCCTACGATTATTCTGGAAGACATCAACCTGTAATCGGGATAAGTGATTAAATAACCATAGAACTGTCACAAATCGCGACCTCAAATCATAGTCCAAAGGGCAACTAAAGTACAATGGTTTTATTATATAAAAATACAGGAATCTAGCCAAAATTGTAACAACATATCACAAACATTATTAGCCGTGTGATTAAGCTGTTACATACGAACATTATACTGTACAGCGAGCGGCGTAGCACC